CAGTAAATCAGGAACCGAGTCCTTAGGTCACTGGGTCACTAAGTCACTAAGTCAATAAATTAATCAGTCACTCACTAAGTCGGTAAAATAGTCAGTCGTTTAATCACTTGGTCACTAGATCACTAAATCACTCAATCACTTAGTCATTAGTCAGGCAGTGACCAAGTCGCTAAATCGCCAAGTCACTATGCCAATCAATCAGTCACTAAGTAATAATTCACAAAGTCAATCAGTAAATCACGAAACCACAAAGTCACTTGATCACTAAAGTAGCCTGTAAGTCATTAAGTCACCAAGACACTAAATCAGTCAGTAACCGAGGAATGGAGTCTTTAGGTCACTGGGTCACTAAGTCATTAAGTCAGTCAGTCACTAAAACAGTAAGTCACTAAGTCACTAAGCCATTCGTCAGTCACTCACAAAGTCGGTAAGACAGTTAATCGCACAATTACTTAGAATGAGTCATTAAATTAGTTTGTCAGTAAGTCACTAAGTCACTTGGCCACTTCATCCTTAAATCATTAGGTCACTCGATCACTTAGTCACTTAGTCATTAGTCAGTCAGTGACTAAGTTGGTAAATCACCAAGTCAATGGGTCACTGGATCACTGGTTCACTAAGTTAGTCAGTCAGTCAGTCAGCCAGTAAGTCAGTGATTCAGCCACTATGTCGGCGTCGCTAAGCCACTAATCACTAAGTCAGTCGGTCAATAAGGCACAGTCACTAAATAGGTTAGTCAGTCACTAAGTCACTCAGCCCGTAAGTCACTCAGTCAGTAAGCTAGTAAGTCACTATATTTAGTGACCTGACCCGACTTGATCTATTGGTCACTAAATCACTACATTACTAAGCCACTAAGTCAATAAGTCAATCAGTCACCACGTCGCTAAGCTACTAAGTCACTAAATTAGTCAGTGAGTCAATCAGTCAGTCAGTCACAAACTCCTTCAGTCACTCAATCAATAAGCCACTAAGCCACTAGGTCAGTCACTACGTCACTTAATCACTAAGACAATCGGTCAACCAGCCAGTCAATCACTCAGTCGGAAACTAAGTAATAATTCACGAAATGGTTAGTCAGTAAATCACGAAACCATTAAATCACTATGTTACTAAGCAGCAGCCTCTAAGTCAATAAGTCACTTGGTCAATAAGTCACTAAGTCACTGCGTTAGTTAGTAACCGAAGAACGGAGTCATTCGATCACTGGGTCACTAAGTCATTAAATCAATAACTCAATCAGTCAATGAGTCACTAAACCAAGTAAGTCACTTGGTCACTAGATCATTAAAGCACTCAATCACTTAGTCATTTAGTCATTAGTCAATCAGTGAATAAGTCGCTAAATCATTAAGTCACCAAGGCACTGGGTCACTACATCACTTAGTCACTAAGTCAATCAGTCTGTCAATCGGTTCGTCAGTGACGAAGTAATAATTCACAAAGTCAATCAGTAATTCACGAATCCACTAACTGACTATGTCACTAAGGCAGTGAGCCTGTAAGTCACTAAGTCACCACCGAGTCAATCAGTGATCGAGAAACCAAGTTATTAGGTCAATGGCTCACTATGTCAATAAGTCAATCAGTCATTAAATTAAGATGTCAGTAAGTCACCAAGTCGCTAAGTCATTTGGTCCCTTTATCCTTAAGTCACAAAGACACTCAATCACTTAGTCATTAGTCAGTCAGTCACTAAATCGCTTGGTCAGTAAGACACAAATTTAGTAAGTGAGTAAATCACGAAGTCACTAATTCACTTGGTCACTTGATCACTAAGAATTAACTAAGTCGTCAAGTCAATTGGTCACTAGATAACTAGGTCACTAAGTCACTCAATCAGTCAGTCAGCTTGTAAATCAGTGAATCAGTCACTTCGTCGCTAAGTCACTAATGACCTGACCCGACCCGACCCGACCTGACTTGACCTGACTTGACCTGACTGAGCTAACCTATTGGTCAATCGGCAGCTAAATCACCAAACCACCAAGTCAATAAGTCAATCAATCAGTCACTACGTCGCTGAGCTACTAAGTCACTAGATCAGTCAATGAGCCACTAGGTCATCAATCAATCAGTACGTCATTTAATCACTAGGTCAATCGGTCAGGCAGCCAGTCAATCAGTCAGTTGGAAACTAATTAATGTGAATGACGATAGGTCACTAAGCAACAAGCCTTACGTCATTAAGTCACTAAGGCTTAAAGTCAGTAAGTCAGTCAGTCACTAAATCAGGTAGTCAATAAGTCACCAAGTAGCTAGCTAATATTTAGTTTTCGAAATTATTAAATTACCAAGTCACTCATTCGCTAAGTTACTTGGTCGGTAAGTGACTTGGTGTCATCACTAAATCAGTATGTCTGTCAGTCAGGCCTAATCTAACCTGACCTTACCTGACCTGACACGAAAAATTTTTATTTATCATTTAGGGAGTTGTAGTATATTTTAGATTCTTTAGTAGCACAAATAAACAAAAGAATATAAACAAGTTTTTGAAGTTTATATCCTTCTAATAGTGGTGTTAGTTAATATGGCGAGCGAAGCGAGCCGAAATATGAGAGCGGAGCGAGCGAAGCTCGCGACTCGTTTAATTATGCCCATCACCAAGGCCAGAAATTAATTCGTAAATGTCAAAATAACAAAAATAAATAATCAAAGCTTCACCCATGAGTCACATTTTTCTTGCAAACCGCTCGCGTAAGTCTCCAACTGACCCTGTATGAGTCAAAAAAAACCACTCATCCTAGTCCACTCTGTCTCGTAATTACGTCGAAACGCCGTTCTTCAACATAAACAACATCATCACCATAAACATGCCCCCAAACCCAACCTAGTTAATTAATCACACCTTCATAAGGTCAAAAGTTGTCGAAACATCTCGGCTGCGTCTCCTCTCCGAAAAAACACCAACTCGGCTAGCAACAATCCGAAAAAACGATATGATAATGAATTTATTTAGAAAGGCAGCACGTGTGAGTTATTAGACGCTTCCTGATTCCTCCGTCATGTTAATCCGTCAAGACTTCTCCCGAAATTCTCACATTAGTCGCCAATAATTAACCATCAAGGTTAACAAAAAAAAAATATTCATCACAAACAAACAATTTTGTACATTGACGACCCAAAACTTATGTATTGAGTCTGGGATGCGGGGAAAGTGGCGGCGTCAAGGAGACCAACTCATCTTACACATCCTTGCAAGGCTACAGCAAACGCATACGCAGAAACAAAAAGCGCGGTTTTGAACAATGAGTTGGCCTTTCTGTGGCCAAAAATGTCAAGCGGACACCCCGTACTGGATGACGATAATTAACCCAGTTTAGACTCCAGGTGTATTGCGGGTTGCAGCAACCACACACTAACAACTAACAATAACTAATAAACACTGTTTACTTTGCATAATTGTGTATTTATTCAAAGGAACAACACAATTACCGAACCCGGATCAACTTCTACACGTTCATCCTCTGATCCTTGACGTATTCATCTCAGCAATCAAAGTGTGAACTGCTTAGCTCTATTTGTCAATACGTCAGATGATAATGCATAGTAAAAATAACGTTTCGTGTTAGGTCACAGTAATTAAACAAAATATGTTTATATGTCGCAGTGACCTTATACAGAAGGTACAAAATTTTTAGAGGGACAAATTTGCACAATCATACCATAATACATTTGTCGTTTAAAATATTAATTTTGTTCCGCATTCCGCCGAGATCTACCTTTTTTCCCACATTAATTATTACACTATAATGGGGAGACGCTTCCTGTTATTATTTCGCAACGGCGTTTTTTACAACACTTAAAAATACTAATTCAGAGCGAAACATTACATAAAATTTATTGTTGGTGTCTTGCAAGAACATTGATGGGCTAGCCCCGCCCACCCACCCCTTCTCCAGTTCAATGACTGTCCCCTGCACAATTTCGTGACGTCATACTAAAAAAAATACTGTATTACACATCTGAAGCACTCTGTATATAAATGTTTGCGCTCGTCTAGAGACAAACACGGACATAACTCACCACTTAATTTGCACAATATTGGCTTGAAAACCGTTTAAAAACAATTAAAGTTAAAAACACATAGATTACTATACCTGTAGGGGGCGTCCTGCTGGGATACCAAACCCCTTACATTAATTAAAATTACGCAAATTTGCTTCGCGTACTGAATTAACTCTAACTCAATTAAGTATTTCTGGCAAAATTTTTAAATAAAGACTCATTTGTTTGTTTACTAAACCTCATTGAAACCAGCATCACCGTGAATTCCAACACATCGTAAAGAACATCCGCGTGCGTAATCCAAGAATTAATATTAATTAGTAAAACACGCGAAATTTTCCTAATTTCGAGGAACGCTACGTAATTTCGGGCCTAATAAGGCCGTAATTCCCGTTTTTACCTTATATAATTATTGGGAAACTAGTGACACCGGAGACCTTTCAGAATTTCCCTAAATCAAAAATTAAGTTATTCAATAACACGGTTATCCGGTTACAACAATAAAACACCAACTTGACCCACGTTGACGGCTGAAATTATCCAGATAACCAGATGGGCTGTTGGATAATAATTTACATCATCTTAACGAGAACGAGTCGGTGCGGCGTGGGCCGCTAAAAGCCAGATCCGGTTCTGGACACTAGCACGTTGTCGAAGTTAGGCAACCAACAATACTTAAAATCAAAATCGCAACGGACGCGTAAAAAACTTTCCCAAGGCAATAAATCACTCAAAAACGACTGTAACAAATAAACCTAAGGCGCAGTTTGTAAAAAAACTTGCTTGTGAACGAAATAAATCAAAATTGTTGTTTTATCAACACCACAGTTCGAATTTCGCGCTCTTGTCATTTTAAACAGTGAACCGAGCTACGCCCAACGTGCCAACTCGTCCCCCACCTAATCGCACCAGCCCGACTGCGACACTCCTTCCTTCCTTGTCGCAGCTCCACCCTCCCTAAAATGTAAACACAACAAACATCAACACACATCCGATTTGAAAGTTTGCGTGAAAAGTCGGTTTTTTCGGCCAAAAAATCGCGTTGGTTGCGGGTGGCGGTGTTTTTGGGGGTGTGACAGTGCGGTGGCGGCGGCGTTGACACCAGGACGGGTGGTTTCGTTGAATTTTTGGAGGTTTGGTTGTCATGTGCCAGGTATTCAGTAGGTATTATTTAAAAGTGATTATCTGTAGGTGTCATGTAGCCTATTTATCGATAATTTATTCGTTGTTGCAGTGACAAGAAAAATCCGGGCGGTTTGGCGGTCAGGTGTTGCGAGGACGAAGATGTAGGGGGCCGTGGGAGGCGGCAAAGATGCATGTGAGTGTGGTTAGAAAAGACGCTTTTGGGCAGCGAAGGCGGCGTCGGCGAAGAGTCGGCTCGGGTTAATATACAGGGTGTTGTGGGTTTGTGGGGGCGAGTTTCGAATGTTGCGGGTGAAGCGCGGGAAATGTGTCAAGGTCGAAAAGGTGGATGCGAATGTCAAATTTGACGTTTGGGCAGGCAGGGCAGGCTTAGTAAATAATATTATCTCAGTTAAAAGAAATAAGATTAGGCCCACCAACCCACCCCTTCTCCATTTCAGCGACTCATTTTATTGGTTCTTAGTTAAGGGGACTCGCTAGACGAAGTATAATATTTTTTTGTTTTTTTGTATGAAAAAAATGATATTAATATAGATGTATCATACATCAAACTGCAGCTTTTTTCATATTCTAGAGCGCAGAGAACAGAGAAATATCGTAAAAAAAGCACCATTGTATGTTTTCTTTTCAAGTTTTTTGAGTCATAACCATCACAGAATCGCTTGAAAATTCGCACATGGATAAAACATCACTTTTTACAGGGCGCAGAGTCATTAAATGTTTGTTAGTGGTACAATTTGTTTAAATAATAATGTGTTTATTAAAATCAAAATATACCACAAATTAATGCAAAATACGTAGAATAATTTTAACAGCAATATTAGAGGAAAATTAATGATCTATTGGTTAGCAGAGTTTTTAACAAAAACTAACAATTATTGAAAAAAGTGAGTATCAATTCGACAGATTTTGAGCCGTTAGTTCAGTACTTTGCCGATAGGAGCGCCACTAAAATTTACGGAAGCGACTTTCCAGGTAACCCTTATCTCCTGCTCTACCATAAGCTGATTGTTAGCGTTCTCGGCTGATTTTTCTAATTTATGGTAAGGAACTCAGTTTTATAACAAGCCGCCAGGACCGGCCGTAGTAATCTATTGTTAAGGAAATTAACTTTTACGCAATGAGGTACTATCATAAAACCGAATTAAAACTGGGGAACTATAATATTTTTACTCCACTCAGAATCCTGAATTCAATACACATGATTACTAAAAAATTGGTCAAAAGAGTTTAGACAGTACTTCCCTCGCTGTCGGAAACTTGACGACTGCATGCCTATTGTGTTTTTTTTCTCATTACATTTTTGTAGTGGGAATTTAAAAAAAAACGTCATCAACATTTTTGCAAGGACACGTATATCAGTTGGGATAGATGTAGTGTAATACTAAGAATAAAATTATTATATTCTCAAATTTTCGGGAAAATGAATTGGGTCGTTTTGAATATTGATTTGTAATAATCAATAAAATAACGAAACAATTTACTCACGTATACCTACGTATCAGAGGCAACTGAAAATCGTGTATGTATAAACATTCTTAATTTAAGATGACAGGCGTAACAGCATACGTGAGAGTCAAACAGAGAAACTGTAAACAAAACGACCATCGGTTTTATTGCTTCGACTTCCGCTTATTATATAAAACATTGGGTTTTATTTTAATTCTTACGGTGAAATTCACAATTGGTTGATTATAAACATGTCTATTTCACGTTCGCGGAACCAAGTGAACGCATAAAACAAATGCAGGTCTGTAATGTTAAAATCGATGTAAATAAGCGTGCTACCCTTATGTTTCAACCGAGTTTTTCCTTTAACAAATTTTGTGTCTACCAAATTGGGTTGGTTGGGGTGTAATACTAATAATAAGTGTTGCCTTTAATTTAATCAATAAAATAAATTGACTTCATTAATTTTTTTGAACCACCTCTTAAGAAAATCTAAAAAATATGAATGGAATGATAAATCACAAGTACAAACTCATCATATTTTTAGCATTTTAGATAGGATTTATTCAGCAAAATTTAAGGGTGACGTCATCAATTTTTTTAGGAGGGATGAACAAATACATTTTGAACAAAAGTTTACCATGCTTATAATAACTTTAAAATATTCCCAAGATTTCAAAGCATTCGGTTTTGTAATTCCTGATTAAGTCGATAAAATAAATTCACGCCTTCATTAATTTTTTTGAGTCACCCTGCATATGCAAATCCAAAAATATGAATGGAATGATAAATCACAAGTACAGACTCATCATATTTTGTACATTTTAGATACGATTTATTCGGCAAACTTTTGAGCTGACGTCATCAGTTTTTTGTAGAAGATAACCAAATATATTTTGACTAAAAATTTATTATGCTCTTTATAACCTTAAAACATCTGCAAGATTTCAAAGCATTCGGTTTTGTAGTTCCTGATTAAATCAATAAAATAAATTTACGCATTCATTAATTTTTTTGAGTCACCCTGTATATGCAAATCCAAAAAATATGAATGGAGTGATAGATCACAAGTACAGACTGATCATATTTTGTACATTTTAGATATGATTTATTCGGCAAATTTTCGAGCTGACGTCATCAAGTTTTTGGAGGGGATAAGCAAATGTATTTTGACTAAACATTTATTATGCTCTTTATAACCTTAAAACATCTGCAAGATTTCAAAGCATTCGGTTTTGTAGTTCCTGATTAAATCAATAAAATATATTTACGCATTCATTAATTTTTTTGAGTCACTCTGTATATGCAAATCCAAAAAATATGAATGGAGTGATAGATCACAAGTACAGACTCATCATATTTTGTACATTTTAGATATGATTTATTCCACAAACTTTTGAGCTGACGTCATCAAGTTTTTGGAGGGGATAAGTAAATATTTTTTGACTAAAGATTTATGATGCTCTTTATAGCCTTAAAACATCTGCAACATTTCAAAGCATTCTGGTTAGCAGATTAAAAATTAAATTTCAAAATGTTGTTTTATAATTTTGATTTTTTTTCCAAAAATCTGGACGTTTCGGGTGAAAAGTCGATTCGGAGTTGTAAACTACATGTGTAGGACTATGTTATTTTATACAATTGAAAACCCATTTACTATGTACAATTTGGAAGTGACGTCATCGCATTAGTGGTGGGGATGATTAGACAAATTTTGGTTAGCGTTTTACCATCTACATGATATTCTTAATATAAGTACAAAATTTCACAACAATCGGTCGGGTGCTTTCGGAGATTATCTGTCTAATAAAAATCCGGGACGGCAGACGGACAGACGGACGGACAGACGGACGGACAGACAGACGGAAATGGGAGACCTATTTCTTCGTCTTCTAGGGGTCATGAAAGATCGAGAAAACGTAAAAGTAGAGAGTCGGCCGACGGACTCGATTACAATACTTCCTTTGCTTACGCTCGGGAAGTAATAATAGGCATGCAGTCGTCACGTTTCCGATAGCGAGGGAAGTACTGTCTAAACTCTTTAGACCAATTTTTTTGATTTTCCCATTTCTCCATTTCTCAATTTTTCAATTTTTCAATGTTTCAGTTTTGGATTTTTTCACTGTTTCGATTCTTTAATTTTCCTTCCATATTTAGGTTTTTCAATATTTCAGCTTAGGAATTTTGCAACATTTTGTTTCTTCAATTTTTCAAATTTTTCATATTGTGTTTTCTCGGTTTTTAAATTTTTCGATATTTTAATTTTTCAGTTTTTAAAGTTTTAGGTTTTTAGATGTCTCACTGTCTCGACTTTTCCATGATTTTTCAATTTGTCGAATTTATAAATTTTAGATTTTTTGTTTTCTTTGATGTATTGAGTTCTCGATCATTCGATTTTCTGAGTTTTCAGGCTTAGATTTTTTTTGTTGTTCAATTCTTGGATTTTTAAAATTTTTGTTTTTTAAATTTTCCTATTTATCAACTTACTGGGATTTCAATGTTTTGATTTTTTGATTGTTCAATTTCTCGATTTTTTGAATTTTTAGTTTTTGATAGGATTTTTTTTTCAAAAATTTCCAGTTTTTCAATTTACTAACTTTGCGGTACTTCAGTTTTGCCCGATTTCGATTTCTCGATTCTTCATATTTTCGGTTTCTCGAATTTCTTCATTTTTCGATTTCTCAATTTTCCGATGTTTCAGTGTTACGATTTTTATTTTTTTTTATTTTTCAATTTTCAATTTTTGACGTTTCTAAATTTTTCGATTGATTTTTTGATTTTCCCATTTCTCTATTTCTCGATTTTTCAATTCTTTCTTCAATTGTGATTTTTCAATTTTTCCAATTCTGAATTTTTCAATGTTTCAGTTTTGGATTTTTTCACTTTTCCGATTCTTCAATTTTCTTTTCATTTTCCAGTTTTTCAAGATTTCAGTTTTGAATTTTTTCACTTTTTCGATTTTTCAATTTTCCTTCCATTTTTCAGTATTTCAGTTCTGGGATTTTGCAATGTTTCGGTTCTTCAATTTTTCCATTTTTTGATGTTTCGATTTCTCGGTTTTTCAATTTTTCGATAGGTATTTTAATTTTTCAATTTTTAAGTTCTAGATTTTCCGTTAATTTTTTTGTTTTCCTTGATGTTTTGATTTCTCGATTGTTCGATTTTTCAAGTTCTCGGTTTAGATTTTTTGGTTTTCCAATTCTTCGATTTTTAAATTGTTTAATTTTTAGATTGTTTAATTTCTCGATTTTTAGATTTTTCAATTTTTCGGTTTACCGATTTTTTTTCATTAAAATGTTTCAATTTTTCAATTACTAACTTCGATTTTTCAATTTTGGTCTAATTTGATTTCTTAATTTTTTGATTTTTTGACTCCTCTACTGTTGATGTTTTGATTTCTCGATATTTCAGTTTTTGAACATTCCGATGTTTCGATTTTTCGACTTTTTGGCTTTTCGAATGTTCAATTTTTTGATTTTTGAATTTTAGATTTTTGTTTTTATTTTTTGGTGTTTCGATTTCCCAATTCTTCGATTTTTCGATTTTTTCAATTTTTCGAATTTTTAAATTTTGGATTTTTCTTTTCTTTTATTTCTCAATTTTTGGATTTTTTAAATTTTACATTTTTCGATTTTACTATTTTTTTGATGCTTGGATTTCTCAATTTTTCAAGTTTTCCATACTCAATTTTTCAGGATTTGAATATTGATAACTTTTCAATTTCTG